GATGGAGAAAAATGTTATTTACAAAAATTGTTTCAAATGAAGCATAAATACATAATCCATAACCAGAACGCGTTTAATTATAACCAATTTTTAGTTAGAAAGCCAAAATCCCCGAAATGTCAAAAATTATAGTTTCTATTATTTATTAAAGTCTATGATAGCTCGAAAATTAAAGGTGATGGAGGGAAATGTTTTTCACAAAAATTGTTTCTAATGAAGCATAAATACATAATCCATAATCAGAACTAGCTTAATTATAACCATTTGTTAGTTAAAAGTCGAAAATCCCCAAAATGTCAAAAATTATGATTTTTGTTATTTATTAAAGTCGATGATAACTCAAAAATTAAAGGTGATGGAAAAAAATAGTTTTAACATAAATTGTTTCTAATAAAGCAAGGAAGTATAATCCATAATCAGATTTACTTTAGTTGTAACTAGTTTTTAGTTAGAAAGCGAAAATCCCCAAAATATCAAAATTGACGTTTTTTGTTATTTTAGTTCAGCATAACTTAAAAGCTTAACGCGATGGAGAAAAATGTTTTTTACAAAAATTGTTTCAAATGAAGCATAAATACATAATCCATAACCAGAACGCGTTTAATTATAACCGATTTTTAGTTAGAAAGCGAAAATCCCCGAAATGTCAAAAATTATGGTTTCTATAATTTATTAAAGTCTATGATAGCTCGAAAATTAAATGTGATGGAGGAAAATGTTTTTCACAAAAATTGTTTCTAATGAAGCATAAATACATAATCCATAATCAGAACTAGCTTAATTATAACCATTTGTTAGTTAGAAATCGAAAATCCCCAAAATGTCAAAAATTGTAATTTTTATTATTTATTAAAGTCGATGATAATTCAAAAATTAAAGGTTATGGAGGAAAATGTTTTTTACAAAAATTGTTTCTAATGAAGCATAAATACATAATCCATAATCAGAAATAGCTTAATTATAACCATTTGTTAGTTAGAAATCGAAAATCCCCAAAATGTCAAAAATTGTAACTTTTATTATTTATTAAAGTCGATGATAACTCAAAAATTAAAGGTTATAGAGGAAAATGTTTTTCACAAAAATTGTTTCTAATGAAGCATAAATACATAATCCATAATCAGAACTAGCTTAATTATAACCATTTGTTAGTTAGAAATCGAAAATCCCCAAAATGCCAAAAATTGTGATTTTTATTATTTATTAAAGTTGACGATAATTCAAAAATTAAAAATGATGGAGAAAAATGTTTTTTATAAAAATTGTTTCTAATGAAGCATAAATACATAATCCATAACCAGAACCAGCTTAATTGTAACCATTTGTTAATTAAAAGTCGAAAATCCCCAAAATGTCAAAAATTATGATTTTTGTTATTTATTAAAGTCGATGATAACTGAAAAATTAAAGGTGATGGAGAAAAATGTTTTTTACAAAAATTGTTTCTAATGAAGCATAAATACATAATCCATAACCAGAACTAGCTTAATTGTAATCGTTTGTTAGTTAGAAAGCGAAAATCCCCAAAATGTCAAAGTTGACCACTTTTGTTATTAAAGTCGATGATAACTCAAAAATTAAAGGTGATGAAGAAAAATAGCTTTAACATAAATTGTTTCTAATGAAGTAAAGAAGCATAATCCATAACCAGATTTAGTTTAGTTATAATCATTTGTTAGTTAAAAAATGAAAAACCCAAAAATATCAAAATTGACGATTTGCGTTATTAAAATCTATCATAATTCAAAACCTAAAAGCGATAGAGAAAAATATTTTTCACAAAAATTGTTGCTAATGCATCAAAAATACATAATCCATAATCAGATTTAGTCTAGATTTAGTGATGTTCTAGGAAAAAAATGAAAATCCCCAAAATGACAAAATTTGTAAAATTCATTGTTAATCTCCATCATAACTTATAAATTAACAACGAGGGAGAAAAATGTTTTATACATAATTTGGTTATAATGAACAAATAATACATAATCCATAACCAGAGCCAGCTTAAATATAATCATTTGTTTGTTGGAAAGCGAAAATCCTCAAAATGTCAAAATTGACGCTTTTTGTTATTAAAGCGCATTATAACCCAAAAACTAAAAGCGATAGAGAAAAATGTTTTTAACAAAAATTGTTGCTAATGGATCAAAAATACATAATCCATAATCAGATTTAGTCTAGATATAGTTATGTTCTAGGTAGAAAATGAAAATCCCTAAAATGTCAAAATTTATAACTTTTATTGTTTGTTAATGTCCATCATAACTCATAAATTAACAACGAGGGAATAAAATATTTTATATATAATTTGTTGATAATGCACCAATAAGGCATAATCCATAACCAGAAGCAGCTTAATTATAACCATTTGTTAGTTAGAAAGCGAAAATCCCCAAAATGTCAAAGTTAATGATTATTATAATTAAAGTCGATGATAACTCAAAAATTAAAGGTGATGGAAAAAATTTGTTTTAACATAAATTGTTTCTAATACAGCAAGGAAGTATAATCCATAAGCAGATTTACTTTAGTTGTAACTAGTTTTTAGTTAGAAAGCGAAAATTCCCAAAATATCAAAATTGTCGTTTTTCGTTATTTTAATTCAGCATAACTTAAAGGCTAAACGCGATGGAGAAAAATGTTATTTACAAAAATTGTTTCAAATGAAGCATAAATACATAATCCATAACCAGAACGCGTTTAATTATAACCAATTTTTAGTTAGAAAGCCAAAATCCCCGAAATGTCAAAAATTATAGTTTCTATTATTTATTAAAGTCTATGATAGCTCGAAAATTAAAGGTGATGGAGGAAAATGTTTTTCACAAAAATTGTTTCTAATGAAGCATAAATACATAATCCATAATCAGAACTAGCTTAATTATAACCATTTGTTAGTTAAAAGTCGAAAATCCCCAAAATGTCAAAAATTATGATTTTTGTTATATATTAAAGTCGATGATAACTCAAAAATTAAAGGTGATGGAAAAAAATAGTTTTAACATAAATTGTTTCTAATAAAGCAAGGAAGTATAATCCATAATCAGATTTACTTTAGTTGTAACTAGTTTTTAGTTAGAAAGCGAAAATCCCCAAAATATCAAAATTGACGTTTTTTGTTATTTTAGTTCAGCATAACATAAAAGCTTAACGCGATGGAGAAAAATGTTTTTTACAAAAATTGTTTCAAATGAAGCATAAATACATAATCCATAACCAGAACGCGTTTAATTATAACCGATTTTTAGTTAGAAAGCGAAAATCCCCGAAGTGTCAAAAATTATGGTTTCTATTATTTATTAAAGTCTATGATAGCTCAAAAATTAAAGGTTATGGAGGGAAATCTTTTTCACAAAAATTGTTTCTAATGAAGCATAAATACATAATCCACAATCAGAACTAGCTTAATTATAATCATTTGTTAGTTAGAAATCGAAAATCCCCAAAATGTCAAAAATTGTAATTTTTATTATTTATTAAAGTCGATGATAATTCAAAAATTAAAGGTTATGGAGGAAAATGTTTTTAACAAAAATTGTTTCTAATAAAGCATAAATACATAATCCATAATCAGAACTAACTTAATTATAACCATTTGTTAGTTAGAAATCGAAAATCCCCAAAATGCCAAAAATTGTAATTTTTATTATTTATTAAAGTCGATGATAATTCAAAAATTAAAGGTTATGGAGGGAAATGTTTTTAACAAAAATTGTTTCTAATGAATCATAAATACATAATACATAATCAGATTTAAATTAGAAACTTTTTTGGTTTGAACTTGTAAATAAAAAAGACTTTTTGTAGTTCCTAAGTAATCTCAACAACCATCTTAAGAGGTATAATGTATGTGCAAAAACGGATCTTTGAAGGGTAGCCGGGGGCACTTTCACGACGGTAGCGGCAGGCAGTAAATCCCCGCGTTCAAAGTTGCTCGAGCTCTCTGTAATGTATGTACCGCCAGCAGCGAACTCAAACAGCGCGCAAGAAGCGGCCGGAAAAAGAGTCATTTGCCAAAGACTCCAGGCGCATATAACTTAACTCAACTCCCTTTTTTTCCTTTTAAAACTATCAACAAATTGATGAGGTCAACGTAAACAACACAACAATTTCGCGAAAGAGATGAAGAAACGATGTGATGAGCAATCCACCTCCTTTCACCGCAATTAGGATCTCCGACTTATGCATCTCTTGCTTTACCGGTGGAAAGCCGCGATAGGCGAGGCGGGAACTTTTTTTTTATTTCTTCAATTTGAGGCTAAGATAATCTTGCGCAATCGGTGCCATCTCTCTCACTCCGGTTCTTGCGGGCCTTCACTTTTCGGAAAGATCACCAGAACGAGAAGCCTCTAAAACTTCTTTGACGCATTGCCCAACTTTTACGTCCTAATTATGGACGTTTTGCCGATATTATGTTACGTGGTACGTTCTCGATAATGATGATATAATTAACACATTCACATTTCGATCTTCATCGGACGATTTTTAATTTATTAACATTTTTTAATAATTAAAATCGATGAGTTTAGAAATTTTCTGGGTGTAAGAGAGAGAGAAGGAAAAGTTTGAAGAGATAAAAAAAATTCTAAGAGGTAACCTCAACATCCGGGAGTTGTGTAGAGTCGCGGCGACACATCGTGGGAACTCCGCGATCACTTTCGCCTTCTGCACTACCACCACAACCATTGCTTCAACGAGACGCGATGGCGAAATGCCCGAAGAGAGGTAGTTTCGACATTCAAACCCTATCTTTGAGATGGTTCTTGGTAAAAATTCGGATTTCAGCTTGCGAAAAGGCAGAAATGAGGAGTACTTGGTGGTGTTAAAGGGAAGCGTTGTGAAATTTATTCTCGATGTGTTTGAACTTAATTGGACGTTATTTACTCCGACGAAGCGACGTGGCCCGGGGCTTCCAATAAATCGATGCTCTCAACTCAACACACTTGTACTTATTTCCCATTCTATTATCTCTTATTACCTCAATATTCGTTTTTTTTCAGGATGATTGTCGACAGGAATCCGACAGGTGGGTCGGAGGAGCACCACGCCCTGGTTTACCACCATCACCGACAGCCCCAGAGGTAAAGCACCAAAATAATTTAACACAAATTGAGGGTTTTTAGTGGTCGAAGGCGAATTAAGTTATAAAAATTCTTATAAAATCAAGTTCTTGGAATATGAGGATAAAAATTTCTCAAAGTATTAATAAAAGTGTCCTCTTTCCAATGAACCAACCCGTTTTGAAAAATCACTTTTAGTCCTTGAGATATAAATTTTTAAAATTTTTTCGAATTTTGCATATTTCACCGATTAAGTTTTAAAAATTCGTATAAAATCCATTTCTTGGAATATGAGAATAAAAATTTCCCAAAGTATTAATAAAAGTGTCCTCTTTCCAATGAACCAACCCGTTTTGAAAAATAACTTTTAGTTTTTGAGAAAACAATATTTGAAGTTTTGATAAAATTGCAATTTTCATCGATAACTTTCAAAATTCGATATAAAATTAATTTCTTGAAGGATCCTTGTGGAAATATCACCAATTATTAATTAAAGTACCCTCTTTTTAATGCAAAAAGCCGTTTTGAAAAATCACTTTTAGTTCTTGAGATATAAATTTTTGAAATTTTTTTCGAATTTTACAATTTTCGCCGATTAAGTTTTAAAAATTCGTATAAAATCCATTTCTTGAAATATGAGAATAAAAATTTCCCAAAGTATTAATAAAAGTGTCCTCTTTCAAATGAACCAACCCGTTTTGAAAAATAACTTTTAGTTTTTGAGAAAACAATATTTGAAGTTTTGATAAAATTGCAATTTTCATCGATAACTTTCAAAATTCGATATAAAATTAATTTCTTGAAGGATCCTTATGGAAATATCACCAATAATTAATGAAAGTGTAACATCCGGCTGTTCACAAAATCACTATCCGTTCCATCACACTAGTGATATAAAAAACGTCATTTCAATTTAAATTTGATCAAAGAGAAATCTCTTCAAAGTGTCTTCTTCATGATGACACATTCACATTCAATCCTCATTATCCCCCAACAATCGTCATATTCTGAGCAACCTTCACTTCCTCGTGTAAAATACGCGAGTGAACGGATCTTATCTGCTTTAAAGTTTTAGAAGGCAAAGATGAGACGAGATCTTGCGCAATATTTACTGGGATTCAATGCCGTTTGTAAAGGCCGAGTCTCCCATTTCTGTCGTAATCGGAATATTTTAAGATATCGACCCTAAATAAATAATAATTGAGATGAAAAAGAATTTTTTGTGTGTGTTATTGTGCGTTTGAATTGAAAGGACTGGCCGTGTATAGCGGTTTGGCCATATGTCGGACGCAAAACACATACAGAGAAAATGGCTTTGGCCGTGTGGTCACGGCTTCACCGTTAATCGCTTCTTGGCGCTAATCTCTGCTCTCTTCTCGCGTGTGTTCGCAGGCCGAAGGTCCCCCCGTGCAAATGGAACCTGTGGACCTAAGCGTGAAGACACCTGTCGTCCTGCAAGTGCCCAGGTACCCGAAACCGCAAAGTCAAAGGGACCAAGTCGCTCACGTTAGATCGAGAACGATTTCTTCGGTTTCGCATAAAAGCTCGCAACAACAATGCCAACATCGACCAGCTACAGGTAATTCTTTTTTTTGATTATTATTATTTTTATCAAATTAGAAATCAAAAATCCGTTAAAATGAGTCCAAACTCGATGGGGTTACCTTCAAAAATAATTATGACATAGATGGCGCTCGTTGTAAATCCGCCATTTTTATTAAATTTTTTTTAAAGATAACCTCATCGAGTTTGTACTCATTTTAAAGGATTTTTTATTTTCAATACGATAAAAACAAGCAATTTTATTTATCTCAATATTTTTATAATCCAACCTATGTGTTATTATATATCATTGAAAAGTAGAGAGTTTGGGCTTTAATTTGATATAAAAATCATTAATTAATATCCATAAATAAAGCCATAGCGATTTTTTGAATTTCTTTCATTTTTATTGGAAATTAGATTATGACCAAAATTATTTATTTATTATTTATCTCAATATTTTTATAATCCAACCTATATGTTATTATATATCATTGAAAAGTAGAGAGTTGAGGCTTTAATTTGATATAAAAATCATTAATTAATATCCATAAATAAAGCCATAACGATTTTTTGAACTTCTTTAATTTTTATTCAAAATTAGATTATGACCAAACTTATTTATTTATTATTTATCTCAACATTTTTATAACCCAACCTATATATTATTATATATCATTGAAAAGTAGAGAGTTGAGGCTTTAATTTGATATACAAATCATTATTTAATATCCATAAATAAAGCGATAGCGATTTTTTGAATTTCTTCAATTTTTGTTCAAAATTAGATTATGACCAAACTTATTTATTTATTATTTATCTCAATATTTTTATAATCCAACCTATATATTATTATATATCATTGAAAAGTAGAGAGTTGAGGCTTTAATTTGATATAACAATAATTAATTAATATCCATAAATAAAGCCATAGCGATTTTTTGAAATTTTCTTTACTACAAAATTGAGATTGAGTTCGAAAATTATTATCTCAAGAACGAATTGAGATATTCAAGTGCGGTTTTGTTCCTAAAAAAGTATGTACTTTCTTCTATAAGATAGGAATGTATCATAAAGATATCTTAAGAATTCAATTTTTCACGATTTTTTAAAAATATGTCTATAAATATTTCGCTACATAATTGAGGTTGAGTTAAAACGTTATTATCTAAAGAACAAATTGAGATATTTAAGTGCGGTTTTGTTCCTAAAAAAGTATGTAATTTCTTCTATAAGATAGGAACGTTTCATAAAGATATCTTAAGAACTCGATTTTTGACGATTTTTTTAAGATAACGTAAAAATTTTTTTGCTACAAAATTGAGGTTGAGTTCAAAAATGATTATCTCAAAAACGAATTGAGATATTCAAGTGCGGTTTTGTTTCTAAAATAATACGTACTTTCTTCTATTAGGTTAGAATGTTTCATCAAGATATCTTAAGAACTCGATTTTTCACGATTTTTTTAAAATAATGTAAATTTTTTCTTATTTCATAATTAAGGTTGGGTTCAAAAATGATTATCTTAAGAACGAATTGAGATATTCAAGTACGGTTTTGTTCCTAAAAAAGTACGTACCTTCTTCTATAAGATAGGAATGTTTCATAAAGATATCTTGAAAACCCGATTTTTCATGATTTTTTTAAAATAACATAAAAATTTTTTTACTACATAATTGGGGTTGAGTTCAAAAGTGATTATCTGAAGAACGAATTGATATATTCAAGTGCGGTTTTGTTCCTAAAAAAATACACATTTTCTTCTATAAGGTTAGAATGTTTCATCAAGATATCTTAAGAATTCGATTTTTCACGATTTTTTTAAAATAATGTAAAATCTTTTTTATTTCATAATTGAGGTTGGGTTCAAAAATGATTGTCTCAAGAACGAATTGAGATATTCAAGTACGGTTTTGTTCCTCATAAAATACGTACTTTCTTCTATAAAGATAGAATGTTTCGTAAAGATATCTTAAGAATTCGATTTTACACGATTTTTTTAACATAATGCAAAAATTTTTTGACTACATAATTGAGGTTGAGTTCAAAAGTGATTATCTCAAGAACGAATTGAGATATTCAAGTGCGGTTTTGTTCCTAAAAAAATACGTACTTTCTTCTATAAGGTTAGAATCTTTCATCAAGATATCTTAAGAATTCGATTTTTCACGATTTTTTTAAAATAATGTAAAATCTTTTTTATTTCATAATTGAGGTTGGGTTCAAAAATGATTATCTCAAGAACGAATTGAGATATTCAAGTGCGGTTTTCTTCGTAAAAAACTACGTATTTTCTTCTATAAGGTTAAAATGTTTCATAAACATATCTTAAGAACTCGATTTTTAACGATTTTTTTAAAGTAATTTAAAAATTTTTTTACTACATAATTGAGGTTGAGTTCAAAAGTGGTTATCTCAAGAATAAATTGAGATATTCAAGTGCGGTTTTCTTCTTAAAAAAATACTTACTTTCTTCTATAAGATAGGAATGTTTCATAAAGATATCTTGAAAACCCGATTTTTCACGATTTTTTTAAAATAACATAAACATTTTTTTACTACATAATCGGGGTTGAGTTCAAAACTGATTATCTCAAGAACGAATTGAGATATTTAAGTGCGGTTTTGTTCTTCATAAAATACCTAATTTCTTCTATAAGATAGAAATGTTTCATAAAGTTATCTTGAAAACCCGATTTTTTACGATTTTTTTTAACATAATACAAAAATTTTTTTATTACATAATTGAGGTTGGGTTCAAAAGTTATTATCTCAAGAACAAATTGAGATATTCAAGTGCGGTTTTCTTCTTAAAAAAATACGTACTTTCTTCTATAAGGTTAGAATGTTTCATCAAGATATCTTAAGAATTCGATTTTTCACGATTTTTTTAAAATAATCTAAAATCTTTTTTATTCCATAATTGAGGTTGGGTTCAAAAATGATTATCTCAAGAACGAATTGAGATATTCAAGTGCGGTTTTCTTCGCAAAAAAGTACGTATTTTCTTCTATAAGGTTAAAATGTTTCATAAACATATCTTAAGAACTCGATTTTTAACGATTTTTTTAAAGTAATTTAAAAATTTTTTTACTACATAATTGAGGTTGAGTTCAAAAGTGATTATCTCAAGAACGAATTGAGATATTCTAGTGCGGTTTTGTTCCTAAAAAAATACACATTTTCTTCTATAAAGTGGGAATTTTTCATAAGGATATCTTAAGAATTCGATTTTTTACGATTTTTTGAAAATAATGTAATTTTTTTTAATTTCATAATTGAGGTTGAGTTCAAAATTGATTATCTCAAGAACGAATTGAGATATTCAAGTGTGGTTTTCTTTGTAAAAAAGTACGTATTTTCTTCTATAATATAGAAATATTTCATAAAGATATCTTAAAAACTCGATTTTTCACGATTTTTTTTAACATAATACAAAATTTTTAACCACATAATTGAGGTTGAGTTCAAAAATGGTTAAGTTAAAGCGGAGTGAAAAGATGTTTTGCTCGTGAAGGTGGTAAACGATTAGCAAACCGTATCGCGTCCGTCTCTCTCACTCAACGAACGTGCTAAGAACACAATAAAGCCTCGATGGATGAATTATTGCTCGGCGTGAGAACCCCACGGGGCAGAGGCACGCCATCCTACTATATACGTCTTTCGCGAGAGACCGAGCTACCGGTCTTAAATACCGCGAAAGACTCCACTTTGTATCTCTTTTAATAGAACTCTTTTTACTCCGTTTAACACAATTAAGTTCTTTTTAACGAAAATTTCGAAATTAACCCTCTTTAAATGGGGTTCTTTTTTAGAACTTCAAGAAGGGGAATTTCAAGACTTTGTCTTTAAGCGGCTCATCGTAGGTTAGGTTTTTCTAGGCCACAATCGGTCACGTTTTGAACTATCGCACGGCCTCTGCAGTCTCATCTTCACCAGGTGCTCCACCCGCTCCTCAGAGGTAACTCCTTAGAGTTGCGCACGACGGTTTTAGTCACGAAATTCCACCCTAAAAGAAATTTTATTCATTTTTTTTTAATCCTTAATTGGTCTTTACGATTTTTTTTTGTTGTAGTTGATGAAAGAGAAGTCTCTCGGTTGTAGTAGTGCGTATACAAGTTGTCTGCAAATTGCGCAATGGGTTGGAGAAGACAGATGAAACGGCGGTGGGGCCGCGTGAAATGCGTTTAAAAGTCCAAGATAAATTCCATTCAATGTCGCGGGGAATCGGAGCTCGTTCTTATCTCTTCGGCGAGATCTGCTAAAAAACTTTTTGCGAAACAATAAACGATTTAGATTCGTTTTCGAACGCTTTCACCATAACATCTTAGAATGTTTCGATTTACGATGGGGTCTTCTTCTATTTCTATGTCGTCGTCGTCGTCTTCGTGAGAATCGAACCGAACTCGTGTCGCCTTTCCTTTAACTTTGTGCCCCCCTTCTCCTCGCGCGTCCTTCTCATTTTTTCTTCTTTTGTAAAGTGGTAACGTGCGGTACCGGTGTGACGTCGCCTTCTTCTTCTTCTTCTTCTTCGGTAAGTTAACTGTCGCCGACGCTGTTAGAGAAACTGTTAGAGAACCGTTTTCAAAGGCGGCTCTTCTTCTCCTCATTCTTCCTAAGAAAGAATTCTAAAAGTCTTCTTCTTCTTCACCTCGAAGTCGAAGTCGAAGTCAAAGTCGTGAGATATTCTTTTTGTTAAATTTTTGTTATTAATAAAAACCGGAATTGTGTGCACACTTAACTTTTGACACTGCGAGAGTTTATCGCTTTGTTTTTTTTCTTTTGTGATTGATTATCGCCGAATACATAATGCAACACTAGTCCACTATTGCATTTGACTCACTTTTGCGAGGGCGTGTGTCCAAAGTTCGGCTCCGGTTCGAAACGATAAAGTATAAGAGAGAGGAGGAACACGTTTCGAGTCTCCCGCAATAGATAACCTTCGACCTCGACGTTGAACGTACTGCGTTTTCCGCTATTTCGTATTAAACGATCGAAATTAATGCTTTTTCGAACCATAAAAAAGAAATTTATGTT